AGCAAGAGACTTGTCTAAAAGATGAGGCTGGGGTCATCCCATGCTTCATCAGAGCTTAAGTGAGTCACACTAACTAAACCAAATCCAAGAAAGCCAAAGCTTGTTGCCAACACCAGTTCCCAATCTGCATGCACTACCTTTCAAACAAGAATAATCCTCAAAGTCAAGGATACTTTTCAAGTCTCAAAGATTTAAAAAAAAAAAGTCAAAGCAAAAAGTCATTTTCTTGCCATTGCCCAAGCTGCTGCTCTTGCTTTTATTTCTTGAGTGGTATGTGCAATGCCAAAGGGCTAAAAAATGCATTTCAAGCCCCAGCTCAAAACCCAACTGGAAAGCGTGAGGCAAAAAGAAAAAGGAAAGAACAAAACTTGTGGCCGAGAGCAGGTGGCTACCACCAGCTCCCCGTGGATATTTGCAAATGCTGGTGAATGACTGGAACCTCCAGGAATAGTGCCCTGATCCTAGCCCCAAAATGCACCCAAGAAGAGAACATGCAGAGCCCCATGTTCAAAGAGAGCTCCCCTCCTCTAAGGGTGACTGAACATGAAGTAGACAGTATATGAAGGCGATGGACAGGGCAGATGGAGTGTTGGCATCACTCTCTTTAGGCACTTGTGTAAGGAATGTAGGCTGTCCAGTGAACTAACTCCTCCCAGAGCCCTCCATTCTATTCTTCAGCTGGGTTCCCATGGGGCACCCAATGCCATAGCCAGTAGGAAAGTAAAGGAGGAGTTACTCAACAGTCCTGATACCTTCCTCTATAATCAATGTTTGTGCTACGTTTTGTGAAGTCATTGAACAAAGTAGCCAACCAGAATGGAACCTGGGAGAGACTGTTTTGCATAGGAAATCTGGGTCTGTGTTAGGGCTGTTGGGGAGGGGAAATGGTAGCTCTCACTGCACAGGCCCAGATTCACACTGGCCTTCCTCCGGCTGGCCTCCAAGCCTGAGCTAGGTCTAAAGTGTCATGGCTTTATCACCAGATTGGGGCAAACCCAAGCCCAAGCTCCTTAAAAAAAGGAATTTCCACACCAAAGCTGCACGTTCTCATCCCAAGCAGTGGGAAAGGAGAAAATGAACAGTCAAGGAAAGAGGGGGCCTTGCCTCAAGGCCAGCAGGCACCAAGCTACAACCCCCTATTTTTCCAGTTTTACAAGCCAGCCAAACCCCATCTCTATGCAGGGAGGAAAAAAAAAAAGCCCATGCCACCCACTCACATGCCCTAGTGGGAAACCAGTAAAAATTCATTTGTGTAAACAGAAGCAAAAGGGAGCAGCAAAAACCCTCAGACTATTCACAGGACACACTGGAATCTGGGATGAGCCAAAGTGTCAGAGGACAATCCAGAGGGAGAGGAAGATGCACTTGCAGAAAAGAGTGCAGGGCAGAGGGCAGTGCAGAGGAGGGAGCCTGTAGCAAGAAAAAGGTATTTTCTGCACAGCGGAAAGATGAAGCCTGAGCCCCATATTGGGGAGACAACCACCCTTACTTAGCCAGGCCAAAGAACAAGTCAGGTACATTGTTCTTTTTAATGGCTCAATGTTTCTGGGATGTAAACTCATTGGGCATTGGAAGGATATCAAGATTTTGGCAATAAACTCAAGTTATGGTATAAAAATAGCATTTAGTTTTTGCTCTTTTTTCTTATTTTAGACCTAAGGATCGTTTGTTATAAGACACCCCAATTTAAAAATATTGAAACATAAGAGACTTGACCATTGGGGAAAAAGAAGCCAAGAGTGAGAAAAAACTATGTAAGTAACTCCAGACCCAGGCAGGTGGGAGGGTCAGGGTAGGACAGGGAAGAAAGGAGGCATAGCCAGTCATCTCAGCAGCTCCATAGACTTGTCAGGTCTGAAAGTGCAAATGTCAATGGATTTTAACCATCTTGAGGTTATAATATTTTTAAAAGCTCAATGAATATGGAAGTCAATTGCTTTAAATGCAAAATAGTTGGCGTTCTGGCTGGAGGTTTGTTGGGTTAGGAGTATTTCTTCCCCATTTACCTCCTGTCCCACCCTACCCCATCCCCCCAAAGAAAGGTACAAAAGGTTGCAGTTCTGCAGCATTACCGTTACAGGGAAGGCACTGGTTACCCACCAGCAGGCGGAAGGAAGACAGGGTTGTGTCACTTCAGAGCTAAGTGCCATAGTGCCTTAAGTCTTATTCGGGGCTGGATGTCTGTCAGGGAGGTGTAAGGTAGGGTAGAAAAATTGGAAAGAAAGGAATAGGGAAAGGGGGGTGGCAGCAGGGGGAGGAGCAACCAAAATCATTAGCATTAAAAAATCCTCCTACAAACTGGATTCTTAACCCATTAAAACATCTTGTATCCTAAAATATTGATCTGGGTCTGGTTTCGTTTTTCTTCTTAAACAAATCTAGACCTTTTCTGATTAAGGCTCCTAAAAAATCCTTCCCTCCTCCCACCCACTTTTTCAAGCCCCTCACTTTCCCATCTAAAGTATCAAACCCAAACCTACCAGCTTTTGTCCACAGGAATGTAGAGCCGAGCCGACCTTACCAAGCTGTCAGGCATGAGTCTTTAGCACTGTGAGTCACGTGAGACACCTGTGTGTATGGTGGGCACTGGTGCTGCCCGTCTTGGTCCAGTGGGGTCAGGGTCAGATGTGACAAGATGGGGTGAAGGGTATGAGGTGAATATCAGAAATTTCTGGCTGGTGGTCTGGCTTACTGGCCCTGTTCCCCACCCTTTTGTCCCATTTGTAGAAGGAAACAAGGCCTTCTGCACTCCTCCCTACCCCACCTCCCTCCTCCCTGATTCCTCTGGATTTGGGTGGCATAGCTCTTGGGGCTTGGAAAACTTTCTTTTATCCAGTGAGGTAACAGCGTTCTGCCTTCAAGCGAAGTACATGGTGCGCAGAGTATCCTGGTGAACCTGCACGGCTTTGGCCAGGGCCTGGGGGTCCCGCCCATTGCTCTGCCCTGATATGTGGCTCCCCTCTCCACTGAAAAGGAAAAAATGAAAGAAGTCCTTCCTGGTAATGCCAATTCCCATACCAGTTTAAGAAAAAAAGAAAATCCAACCCAGAATGCCAATTCCCATACCAGCTTAAGAAAAAAAGAAAATCCAACCCAGATTTGGCAGGTGAACACAGAGACACCAAATTGAACAAAATCCCATTTCCTTCTACCCAAGGAAAGTTGGGAAGGTCTAGTACACAAAGGATGAGGTAAACAGGAAGCCAGCCTGATCCCAGGCCTTACCTGTCATGCTCCTTGTCCACTAGATGATATCGTGCCCGGAAAGCCACCAGGCGGGCATAGTAGGCAGGTGCTGGGATAGAGACAGAGCGTGTGCATCGTACATAAGTGTGGCATAGCTGGTATGTCAAGATCTGGAGCTCATCTGCTGTGAAACGGTTGTCATCCCAAAGGACATAGTAATGGGATGGTCGACTGGTGCCCTGGGAAGATAGGAAGGTAAGGGGTGCCAGATTGGGCAAAGGGGATGGCTGATGATAAGGAATAGGATCACTGTTAAGATTATGCCTAGGCTGGAAGACCCACCCATGAATAGGCAAACACAAAGTCACCTATAATTTGCCAAGATATTCAAAGTGTATTTCTGGTCAAGTACACTGAGGGTTTATTAAGAGAACAATCTTGATTTGAATGTCACTCAGTGATGACATATATTCTAGAGGCAGTGGTAATAATCAACTAATTTTCGACTCATTGGAAACCCCAAGACATAGCCCAGCTACCTGGATGCCTGCGTGGCTGCACAGATAGAAGTCAAACTCAAATGGGTGCGTGATGTTGGTATCCACAGTGGTCCCAGCTGGGATGTTACCACTCTTCCCAATCTGCATAGAGACAAAGACAACCAAGATCCCAAGACCTGCCTAGTCTTAAGTAGGGCCCCAACTCAATTCTACTCTGACTCCACCAGAATCCCAAGAGTGAAGCAGAAGTTGTGGTTCCCAGAGGATATTGGGTCTTGAAATAATGGGTTCTAAAGTCACACATAAATGTGTTTAAGAACTAGTTTCATCATTTATTACTGTGTGATCTTAGCAAGTCATTTAACCTTTCTAAGGTTAAACTGGAGATAATAATAGTACCTACCTCACAGGGCTGCTGTGAGGAAGACGCCTTGTACAGTGTCTGGCACATAGGAGAAGTTCAATAAATGGTAGTTCCCTTTCCCTTCTCTGGGAGCTGGTCTACATATGGGGTCTATAGGCCAGGGAGCTAGGAGGAGGGAGAGGAAGTATAAGGAAGGAGGGGGAAAAGGGGAAACAAAGGGAAGGAGGTGGTAGAGGAAGGACCACAAGAGCTCGAGGGAGGAAAGGGGCCAAAGAGGATGAAACAGGCCAAGGGTTAAATCCCCAGATTTTATCTCAAGGGCTTCTTTCATATTAAGAGAAGGGAGACAGGATGGATGAGGGTATGGTTGGCTTCCTCAATCCCTCACTCACTCGCTCATTCTTGTCAGCACAAAAAAGGCGGGTGTGATGGCGTTTCTGCACCACAATATAAGTGATCCCAGGCTGGTAGTCCTTTTCCAGTTTGATGCAGGCATCACGAATGGCCAGCAGCTCATAGTGGAGGATCTAGGCACAGGGTGTGGAGATAGACAAAGAACATCCAGCTCTTCTTCAGTTCACACATCTTTGTGAACTAAGGGTTGACACTTATAATATGGCTTTTTGCTCAATCTCCCTTTATAAGCTGATACCCAACCATTAGAGCTGATGGGTCCTTTCTACGAAAATCAGCCTTATATGCAATTCACGAATTTGTTCCCATAAAACCTTGGCTAGGAAGCTTGGCATCAGTAGAGAGCACTTACCTGGTTCCTATGTAAAAAGAGACCTAAAATCAAGACACAGAACCAAATTTCACAGAGAAATCACTAAAATTATAATGCCCAAAGTAAGATCAATTTCAGGATCAGGAGAATAATGGGATTACCCCTGTGACCTCCACAAGCAGACAAGATTGGTACCACCAAAGAAGAGCAGACACAGAGTTCAGAGACCGGTGCAGAGGGAGAGGATGAATTTTGTCCTACAAAGAAGTAGGATTATAAAATAATGACCTAGCTAAAGAAGCAGCCACAGGTAAATAACCATAGGTAATAGTTACCTTATGGCCTTGGATAACAGGTATAGGGAGTCAAAACTGTATGGTAGAAGTGTGTAGAATTTATTATCAATTAGAATTAGATTTAAAACCAAGTTTTATCAGGTTGTATTTCCTTAAGCAGGTTACATAATCCCTCTTAGTCTCATTTTCTCCACACCTACTAAAATTACTAATAAGACCAGCCTCTTACAAAGCTGTAGTGATGAATAAAACAGATAATTAAGTAAATGCATAGAAAACCCAATAGGAGCTTAATAACTGCTGATTGCTTTGCTAAGAAGTTTGAGTTTTAACCCAAGGCTATATGAACTAGACATTTCTGAACAGAGAAGTGATATGATAAATATATCTGGTATTTTAGGAAACACTGGATGCCTTGGAAGAAATTGAGCACAATGGTTAATAGCATGGACTTTGGAATCAGACCAATTTGTCTAAATCCCAGTTCCACCACTTAGTAGCTTGGGTGACAATGAAGAAATCACTTAACATTTCCAAGCCCCAGTTTTCTCATCTGTCAAATGGAATAATTATTATTTCATAGGACTACTGTAATTACAGCATTAAATAGAACACATATGAAGTGGTTGGCACAGTTTAGGGTACATAGAAAGTACCCAATAAATGGCAGTTATATATTACTATTAAATTGTAGTCAAGGAGACTAGTTCAGTATACAAGTTTAAACAACAGAATATGAAAGGTTGGCAGGCAGAAAGAATAAGAGGAACATCATGAAGAAAGGTCAATAGCAGTGGTCTCCAGACAAGCAGCACCATCTACAGACTTAATAGTATTTCAAATTCTAGGGCCCAATCCTAGACTCAATTGGAAATTCTTCTTTTTTTTGTTTTGTTAATCCTCACCTGAGGCTATTTTTTCCATTGATTTTTTTTTTCAAGAGAGAGTGAAAGGAAGGAGGAGAGACAGAGAGAAATATCGACTGGTTGCCTCCCGTATGTGCCCGGGTCAAGACCAGGAATCGAGCCTATAACTAAGGAACTAAGGTATATGCCCTTGTGGGAATCGAACCCAAGACCCTTCAAACCAAATAGGGCTCTATGTCAGAAATTTTAAGGGTAAGCCCTGTTAAATATTTCAACAAGTCCTCCCAATGATCTTGACTCATGTTTGAGAACCACTGGTCTAAAGCATCAGTCTTCAACATGAACCAACTACTAATAGGCACTGAGGGTCTTCTGTTACAAGAAGACAGGTCGACAGATGCTTGTACTTGCCACTTCTCAGTTGTGATGTCTGCTCTGAAGCTTTTCCATTTAGCAACCTTCCAAGTACCAAGAGCTTAGAAAAGCTAGCAGTACTCTCTGCTACCATTAGACCCTCTGGCCTCAATATGAAGTTTTTCTAACTACTGTGGGCCCTACCTGAGGGAGCTGGCCTTCAGGAACCCCATCTCGGTAGAAGATGATACGAGTAGGCTTGAAGCGGGTGGACTTGTAGAACTGGATCAGCAGCTCACGCACCATGTACGATAAGTCTTCAATGATCTCCTGCCGAGGTCGCTGCACCCGCACAGTGGCACAATAACGGCTGGGATGGGCATCCATACTGCCTACCACCTGTTAATCAAAGAGGCAGGATAAGCCCCTAGAACCTCCACCCACCAACACTGTCAGGTTGTGGGTTTGGGCAAAGGCTTCTCAGCAAAACAATCATGCTATCAAACAAGTAGGGTTTTGGATTCAATGAGTCCTGGTTTCAATCTCTGTTCTACCACACATGCAGAAGTTACTTAATCCATCTGATCTTTTCTTTCCTCCTCTCAAATGGAGATAAGTATAGAACACCACCTGTTTGCAGTGCTGTTATAGTACATATAGAGCACCCTTGGACAGGGCCTAGCCCACAGAAGGTGCTTGATAAGTTTTCTTTCCCTACCCTTTGAAGAGGGGAATGTGAAGGTTTGGCATTACTAGCTTAAAGAATAACCTCATCTAGCCACAAGTTTATCCTTTTTTCATTCAAGTGCTAATCTACCCTAAAACAATGGTAAAAATGGTGTGAGTAACATAATTTTCAAAGGGGACAGTGGCCAGAGCCTAGGATAGATGGCCACAAGGAAAATAGGGAAAAGCATAGTATAGGGTTTTCCTGCATTTACTGAGATAAGCCTAGTCTGCCTAGAGAAACATAAGGGTTGAGGAAAGAGAAGTGGGGGGAAAAGAGCTGATCTCTCTAGCAATTCAGAAACCCCTAGGGGACAGGGAGCAGAAGTCAAGAGAAGGATTAGAGTTAACTAATTAGAGTTAACTAACCCACTTAAGTGGATCAGGAGTAGGGATGAGAAGAGGAAATGACAGTCTCAGCAACTAAGTAAATCCCTTAAAAGGGATTCCTGAGAAGAGATATGGTCACCATCATATCCCAAAAGTAGGCATGGAGAGAGAGAGAGAAAAAAACCTGAACATAGGGCAGTATTGACAGACACTGGGCCAAGTCTCTGGCCACAACCTACATTCTCATTACTCTCACTGGAAAAAACACATACATCATACAATCAATTTTATGACGATACCAAGGAAATGGTTAATGGGAATGATCAGCTGGAAGGAAAAAAATTTTATGAAGGTCTAGTGCCCAAGCTAAGGAAAGGAAATCATATGTAGCCTTGGAAACTCAAAGCTAAGAGGAAAACCTTATGAGGAAGCTGGAGTGTCACTCACTGCTGTGATAGACGGTTTTTTCCCATCCCCTGCTGGGGGGTGTGTAACATCTGCTCCCAGGAATATCACTGGCTGTTGAAAGACTGCAGAGCTGAACAAGGAAGAGAAAACAAATGATGAGGAGATAGATCATCTCTTCCTGGCACCACCTAGCACCCACTTTGGTCCTTTCTTCCTTATGCCTGACTCACTCTGCCTGGCCAGGACCCTATCTTTTCATCAATTTCCAGAATGGTACCTTGCATGACAAGGGCAGATGGACAACAGAGTTCATACCGCTGGTGTGGGACTAGGATGTTGTTTATGCCACCAAGTTTGACATTGATCTTCAGGCAGAGGTTGGACAGAGTTTGAGGTGAGGTCTTCACCACGTTCTTCACTTGCACACACTGTGTAGCCATTCCCAAAAGTGTGTCTCCAACACGTTTCACCTCAGCTATGAGCAAGGAGAGAACTGATTAGTACATTCACAAATACTTAATGAATGCCTACTGAATCCAGGCAGGGACCACAATGGTGACCAGAAACACACAGGATCCCTACTCTTATAGTGCTTATTTCCTAGTGATTAATTTTAAATATCATGAAAAGTACAACAATGATAAATGCTACAACAAAAACTTAATGGAGCTATGACAGTATATAATAGGGGGTAATAACCTAGCCAGGAAAGGCCTAAGTATTGATTGAACTAAAAAGTACAAAAGAAATTGGAAAAGAGGGCGAGTTTGAGAGAGAGCAATCCAGGCAGAGGAAATAGGATGCCCAAATGCACTCTGATAGGAGATAGCATTTTATGTCAGAGAAACGAAAAGGCCAAAGTAACAATGAAGGAGAGCAAAAGGACTGACATAGGGAAGAAATGAGAGAAGCTTATATTAAGACAGTTATTAAGACTGAGAGAAGCAAATAAAGTCAAGAGAGGCTATATATGTGAATAAGGGAAAATAATGTTTATGGATAACTTCTGTGTTTCTTGCTTTTGTATTAGAATAGATATATCATAAACTCTTATTTTAAACATTTTGAGTTTGAAGTGCTCTTTGGTCATCCCAGTAAGGATACCAACTAGGCAATTGGGTATAGTAGTTAAAAGCTGAAGAGTAGCCCTAGCTGGTTTGGCTCAGTGGATAGAGAGTCAGCCTGTGGACTGAAGGGTCCCAGGTTCAATTCTGGTCAAGGGCATGTACCTTGGTTGCGGGCACATCCCCAGTAGCGGGTGTGCAGGAGGCAGCTGATCGATGTTTCTCTCTCATAGATGTTTCTAACTCTCTCTATCCCTCTGCCTTCCTCTCTGTAAAAAAATCAATTTATATATATACATATCTCCTATCTAATAAAAGACAAAAAGGGTAATTGACCGTACCTTCTCTATGCTTCCCATTGGCTAATCAGGGTGATATGCAAATTAACCGCCAACAAAGATGGCGGCTGGCAACCACACAGGTGAAGCAAGCAATAGGCTTGCTTGCTCCAGTGATGGAGGAAGCCAAGGTTCCCCGCCTGCTGTGGCTCGGCTGAGCTCCAAAAGCAACAGTTTCAATTATAGAAGCTAAACAAACCCCAGATACCTGCTTTCAGCCGGCCACAGCCACGGAGCTGGATCTGGCTCTTAGCTCCAGTGACAGCAACGAAGTTTCAATTATAGAAGGTAAATAAAACCCAGAATAAAAAAAAAGAAAAGAATAAAAGGAGAGGCTGGGAGCTTCAGTCACCGGCCAGCCTGAAAACAGCCCTCAGCCCTCACCCAGAATGGCCAGGCACCCCAGTGGGGACCCCAACCCTGAAGGGTGTGTGACCAGCTGCAAACA